ATGTGTGTGTAACTGTGGTAACTGTGCTCTGTGTGTGTGTGTGTGTGTGTGTGTGTGTGTGTACTGGGCTAACTTTGCTGTGTGTGTGTGAACTGTGCCAGCTGTGTGTGTGTGTGTGTGTGAACTGTGTCCTTCATGTGTGTGTGAACTGTGGTAACTCTGTGTGTGTGTGAATTGTGTCCTCTATGTGTGTATGAACTGTGGTAACTGTGCTCTGTGTGTGTGAATGTGTACTGGGCTAACTTTGTGTGTGTGTGAACTGTGGTAACTGTGTGTATGTGTGTGTGTGTGAACTGTGTCCTCTATGTGTGTATGAATTGTGGTAACTGTGCTCTGTATGTGTGTGTACTGGGCTAACTTTGCTGTGTGTGTGAACTGTAGTAACTGTGTGTGAACTCTGCTCTGTGTGTGTGTGTGTGTGTGTGTGTGTGTGTGTGTACTGTGAAAGCTCTCTCTCTGTGTCTGTGTGTGTATCTGCCTGCTCTCTCCAGGGGTGGGGGATGGATGGTATTAGGGAGATTCTCAGCACTGCTCCCCTCCCATTGGGAGGGGGAGGGTGACAGGGGAAAGAAGCCAGGCTGGGACTGTGAAATACAGTCCCCCAGGCCTAGCCCTCCCATCCCAGCAAAGCTTGCCACCCCCCATGACTGAGGTTGCAGTGAGGCCTTTGTCTCTCCCATCCCAACCCCTATCCTGTCAAGCTTCTCAACCCCACGGCTGAGACTGTATGAGGCCTTCGTCTGCCCCGTGCTACAATTAAGTAGTGGAAACATCTATAAATCAGAAGTTTTTCCCTAAAAGTAAAGCTTTCCAGGTCCCTTGCAGATGGGAAACCTGGTGCTGGGTGGTGACACCCTCCTTTGCATGTCCCCTTTATAGAAGACCTCACTGCTTCCTTGTGTCCCTGCCCCCAAGAACTGTACCCATTTTGTTGTCATCCACACCCCTGCAGACAGAGTCCCCCATGCACACTCCTGCATGCACGCACCAACATGGACACACCCAGCGTAGGTGCGTGCGCGCGCGCACGCACACACACACACACACCCATATACACCTGTGCATAAGGCCTCGGGCCTGGCTGCTCCTACAGAGATGCCAGGTGGACTAGACCCCATCCTCAGGCTAGGAACGTTGACTGTGTCCCCAACCAACCCCTTCACCACGCAGAAGTGGCGAGAGGTGAGAGAGAAGAGACCAGGGCCAAGCCCTCTCTCATCTAAGTCTCTGCCTGTGAGTGGATTAGCATCTCCAGACTTTAGCAACCAAGTGCATTAACCATTTGCACAACCCAGGGATCTCAAGAGGGAGAGAAAATGAACAAATGACTCAAACCAGTTCATTTCCAAATCCTGGCAGCCCCTTGCGTCCTGGGCAGAGGAGAGCAACACTCTACAGAGTGCTTGATGACAGACCTTTCAGACTTCAGAAGACTGCAACGGAAAGGTTGATAGTTCGAGTTTACCCAGAGGCACCTCAGAAGTAAGGTGGGTTGGTCTGCTTCCAAAAAGCTCAGGCACTGAAAACCTCACGGAGCACAGCCCTGCCCTGACACACTTGATCGACTCCACACGTTTTATTCAGCAGCTCTCAGGCAGCGCAGCCGGGCTGGAGACTGAAATTAGCAGACAGGGGCGTGGAAATGATCCAGCTCTGAGACAGTCCCAACACAAAGCCAACAAGATACACCTAGACCTTTATGTGAACCTTTCTTTCCCATACCCTCTCCCTTCGCTGTTCAATAGACCACCTGCACAGCAACCCTGTCTTGGGGAAACCAGGCGTGAGTTGGGGCAGGGGCAGAAAGATTTACTGACTAGTCGGCGGGGGTGGGTGGGTGTGGGTGTGGCATCATCTGGCTCTTTGTCCAGTGTTGGGAGGAGGAGGTATTTACCTTTCAGGAAACAGAATCTCCACTGGGTTTGATGTCATAAGCTACAACGTGTGAGAAAACTCAATTGCACTATAGCAAGGCCTTAGTTCTAACAGACCTTCCATCCGTCAGTCTAAACCACGTCCTCTAAAATCACATCCACCCAGAAGCTCAAAACAACACTTTATTTGGAAATAAGGCCTCTGCAGATGTAATGAGTCAAGATGCTGGAATAGGTTTTGTAGTTATTTGTTTCAAGTTGGTTCCACCCGTGGTGACCGCATGACCAACAGGGCACAGCACTGCCCGGTCCTGCCGAGTCCTCGAGCCTGTCGCTGCAGCTGCCACATCAAGCCATTTTGTTGAGGATCTTCCTATTTTTTTCACTGGAAAGTAGAACGGATCCTAATCCGTTATGACTGGTGTCCTTGTAAGAAGACAGGAGAAGTACTGAGAGAGAAATAGAGCAGGTCACCTACAGGTCACAGAGGTTGGTCAGGTACACCTGCAAGCAAGGGCGGAGGGCCGGTCCTGCCTGCCCAGCATCTGTTCTCCCTTTCACTGTCAACATCATCTGGTCTTACGTGAAGGATTCTCCAGCCCTCCACCTTTGGTCTGCTCTGAGTGGGCGTCTGTCGTCCCTGGGTGGCTGTGTGGCCTAGACCAGGCCAGTGAGAGTCCTGACACACTGACCCAGGGGTGGTCACATGTCTGAGTGATTCTAATGAGAGTCAGCCATGGGAGTTTTGCTGGGACTTTTAAGAAAATAAGGCATTCTATCAGGTTATTTAGTGGTTGGAGCTAATAGCTGGCCGCCATATTGTGTCCTTTGGGGACAACCGCTAAGAGGTTTCTTCTTCTCCCGCTGAACCGGCGTGAATGCTTGTTCTCTCTTCTCCTCGCTCTAGTGTGTCTCCTCGTTCTCCCTCCTCTGTTCTCACTCATAGGTGTCACTCAGTCATTAGTTGCGGCCAAGCTGATTCATAAAGACTTTGTGTGGAAAAGCAAAAACCGTGCCCCATCCTCACCCTGTTCCTATTTCAGCTCATCCTTGCAGCTACTGTGTGTAAATGGTCTCATTGATCCTGGAGCCTTCACCAAGCATGATGATCTTTTCTAGCTGTTTCTATCTATCTATCTATCTATCTATCTATCTATCTATCTATCTATCATCTATCTATCTATCTATCTATCATCTATCTATCTATGTGTACACCATCAAATCAGATCTGACTGGTATAGGAGGAGATTGCCCTTCCTTCTCCAGAGGAGATTCTAATGGATTTGAACCAAGTGCCTTCGGGATTGCAGCATAGCTTCTTGCCACTAGGCCACCAGAAGGCCCTGGTTTCTTTTTTTTTAACTGAGATTTTAATGAAAGTTTATAGAGAACTTAGATTTCCATTCATTCCTTGTTGCACATTTTCCTCCCTGCTCCCCTTGCCCCCAGTTCACTTTTCTCTTTTAAAAAAATCTTGCATTGTTGTACATTTCTTAGTTGTAGATCTCAAAGGCTGTGTGCTGAGGCCTGAGTGGTGGGGTCAGGACAGAACCAGGTCTCCACACAGCCCTTCTTTTCTCTTCCATCAGCCCTGCCAGGCAGACCCTTACCACTGCCTCCTCCCCGTCCCCTTCTATCCCAACGGCAATGGGGACAGCCCTCCCCACCCCCACGTGCAGGCTCACTGGCTCTCAGGAAGCTTTGGTGAAGCCAGTGAGCACCTTGTCACCAGTCCCCGTGCCCCGATCCAGGTGCTGGCCATCCTGATGGACGTGTTCACGGATGCCGAGATCTTCTGTGATGTTCTGGAAGCGGCCAACAAGCGCGGGGTGTTCGTCTGTGTGCTCCTCGACCAGGGAGGCGTGAAGCTCTTCCAGGAGATGTGTGACAAGGTGCAGATCTCCGACAGTCACCTCAAGGTAAAGGTGAAACCTTCTGTTGATAAGTTGGCTCCAGCCCGTGGGGACCCTGAAGGACAGAGGAGCGCTGCCCTAGAGGTGTTCCAAGGCTGGGCATCGTAAGTAGAAGCCAGCTGCCTTCTACGGAGTGACTGAGGGGTCCTCACTGCCGAACTTCTGGTTGGCAGCCAAGTGCTTTACCTGCAGATCCACCCAGGTGCCTTACCTCAAGGGGGCTGTTGTTGTTCGGTGTTACTGAGTTGACCATGACCCTGTAAACAACAGATCTGACCCTTGCCTGGTCCTGAATCTGCCTCACCGTCCCTGATATGCTAGAACCCGTTGTTACAGTCGCTGTGTCAACCCGTCTTGTTGACCGTCTCGCTCCCTTTCTCTGACCACCTGCTCTAGGCGGTCAGGACAGAAGAGGCGATGCTGTGGTAACAAGCACCCTTTCCCTCCAGGACTTGGAACTACCAAGGTTTACCTCTTGCTCAAGGTCCTCTGTGGATCAAATGGCCTCTTTCATCCGATAGCAACATCACGAAGCAACACCAGAATCAAAAGCTCACCACTGTTGAGTTAATCCGGCTTCATAGCTCCTCCCCATTGTATTTTCAAAGCTGTCATTATTTTTTTTAAAAAAAATGTTTCTTTTGTATTGGTTTACATGCAAAATTCATATACATTGTGTTTCATTCTGAACATTATGTTTCATGTGTTCCTTCATTCACATTGTATTTCATATGACCATTTCTATACATTGTGTTTTATAAAATTAATCACTATGACCTCTATTGCTCTATCTTTTCAGGTCCTCATTGAATATTTCCTAATTCTTCACCTCCTCCCTCCACCCACCAAGTTCTGAGATCTCATGATTTGCCCCCCCTTCCCACACTGTTTCCCAGTACTCGATTTCTTTCTTCCCTCTTTAGACTTTTATACACATCTTACTAGTTATTCTTCTATTTTTATAACAATGGTCTTATGCCGTATTTGTCCTAACGAGACTGAGTTAGATCACTCAGCAGAATAGTCTCTAGACCTTCCCATGTTATATAGTATTTCATGAAATCATTGCTCCTGAGTGCTACATAGTATTCCATTGTGTGAATGTACCCTAATTTCTCAATCTATTGGTTTGTTGACGGACATTTGAGCTATTTCTATTTTCTTGCTATTGTGAATAATGCTGCTATGAATATCAGTGTAAAAATTTCCATTTGTGTCTAAGTTCTATTTTCCTTGGGGTATATTCCTAGTAGTAGGAATAGCTGGGTCATATGGGATTTCTGAGTTCAGGCTTTTTAGGAAACTCCAGGCTGCCTTCCAGAGTGGTTGTATCATTTTGTAATCCTACCAACAGCGTATGAGAGTTCTAATCTCACCACACCCTCTCCAACATTTATTGCTCAAAGCTGTGGATCTCTGAAAAATAATGATGGGAAACTGCCCATATTTCTCCCTTAGAGCTACTGGTGGATTCAAACCACCAAAGATGTGCAGCATTTTGGTAAACAGGGCAGCACTCTGTGGACTGCGCCACCAGGCGTCTCTACACCAAAGGCTTGTCCCAAGTAACTGTCAGATTTCTATGGAGCACAGAGGCCTTGGTGGGCAGCACCATCCTGTCAGGTCCTCAGCCATCTGTGGGCTACTTTGTTTGAATTCTGATCATTCTCCCTTCCTTTTTGTTTTGCTACCCAAATAATGCCAGCAATGACAATGAAAACCTAGAATTCAACCAAGGTCGATATAAGCATGTCCCATAATTTTTCGACTCCTGTTTACATTTTGGGTAACATCCTTCCAGACTATCTCCTACACATATATCCTCTAATAGCTAATTAGTGAGTGATGGCTTGACTTCTGGTCCACAGAACATTTCCATTCGGAGCGTGGAGGGAGAGGTGTACTGTGCCAAGTCAGGCCGCAAGTTCGCGGGCCAAATCCGGGAGAAGTTCATCATCTCGGACTGGAGATACGTCCTCTCTGGATCATACAGGTGAGTGCTGGGTTCACGTCCTCTCACAGATGCCCAGGGCCCCAGGCTTGAGCAAGGGGCAGATCAGGTACCAGCCACCCACATTCAGCCTCCAGACCTTCTCTGCCCAGAGCAGAAGGGTCACCGCACAAATAATTCTAGAGGTAGGGTCAATCTGGAGAGGGGAAGTCAGAGACCTTCCTGGATACTTCCAGGTGGAGATGCACTTCCAAATGCTTCCGTTTCCCTTGGAAATGACAATAGGACAGAATCCTAGTTCCTTGCTCAGATCTTGTAAGTGGAATTGTACAGCCACAATTTGTTTTGTTTGTGAATGTGTGTTGTGTGTATGCTCCACTTTATTATTGAATTTTAATCCTTTTAACATGACACCTTAATTGAGATCACATATCATAAGATTAATCTACTTAACATATCAGTTCAATGGTTTTTCCAAGATTCATGAAGTTGGGCACCCATGATTCACAATTAATTCTAGAACGTTTTCATTATCCCTAAAAAGAAACTCTGAGAGTGGTGGGCCGGTGGCAGTATTTGTGACTTCCATGAGAGAGCCAGGTTCGATTCCTGACCTACGTACCTTGTAATGTTGCTGTGATGCTGAACAGATTTCAGTAGCACTTCTAGACCAAGACATGAGCAAGAAAAATCTGGCAATTTAGTTCTGAACATCAGCCAATGAGAGCACTAAGGGTCAGAATTGAAACAGATTATGAGAAGGAATCAGTTGTTTCAGTTCTGAATGAGGCCACCATGAGTTGAAGCCAGTTTGATGGTGACGTAGCATGTTCTGTGTTGTGTTGCTAACTAAAAGTCATCAGTTCGAATCCATTGGCCATTGCATAGGAGAAAGATAGTCTCCTTCCCAAAATAAGCCTATTGGAAGGTCACAGAATCTACTCCACAAGCAGTGGGCTAACAACGGTGGGCACCAGGCATGTTCTAGGATTGAGCTCCCCCTCCTGGGAAATAAACAATAGTCAGGAAGAAGAGCGTGGGATGGGGAGAAATCGATGAATAGACTTAAACATCATCAAACTTAAAATTATCTGAACTGCCACAGACCAAAATGTGGATGCTTAAGAAACCAAAATCTCGTCTTTAAAAGATTCTTCGCCTGCCCAGAACCTACTACTCTCCTGTTAGCTCCTTGGATGAAGGCGTAAACCTTGACTCTGCCACTTAGACAGGCCCTGAGGGCCGATGAAGATGGAAGACAAATCTCTGTCACCTCTCACAGAACGAACGTTGAGGAAGGAATCTCATGGATTTCAGAGAAAGCAGCCCACCTGTAAGCCCTGGATAGGTTCAACTCAGGCCAAAACTCATTCCAAAGATCTTAACCTTTTCAAAGCCAAATTAGTTAATTTGCAAAAGAGCAGTGAGTTTTGCAGGAGAGACTGGCAATGATTACTATTACGAGGCTTGTCACAATTAATGCCAGTCTGTTGCATAAAACAGTTTCATTTCACTTTCCACTTAACCAAAAACTTAATGTTGCTGAGCCAGAACTGAATCACAGTGGACCATCCAGCATTTTTCTGTAAAATCACAAGGGAGGAGATGGCCTATCTTTCTCCCTTGGAATAGCTGGTGGATTCGAACTACCGCCCTTTCATTTAGTAGGCTGATACTTTACACACTACTCTGTCAGGATTTAACCTTCTTAGCAATGCTTTGAGGGAGACAATAGTCTTCCAATCTATCAATTCAGGAACTGAGGTTAGCTAATTGGTTAAGGACCGTCTGCTTCCTTGTGACAAACTAAAATGCAAATCCAGATTTGGGAGAGGCTTTGTTCAGAGTGAAAAACTACTAAAAATAGAGAGGGAATACTATGTAGGGAGGAGGGAACGTAGCAATTGGGAGACCCTTCTGGCCTAAGAGCAACAAGGGGTAGAATAATAGGTTTTCCTTTTACAGAGAGGATAGTCAACGGGCTGGGCAGACCAGGTGTGGGAAATGAGACGGAAAGGTGACACATCAGAGAGTAAGCGTTTTATGCTGAGGTCAGCCTCTTCCTGTAAGGGAGGGCCGTGCAGGTGTTAGGACTTTGGCTCAAGCAGAGGGTAAACCAAGGTTCAGGGACCTGGAGGCAGGAGAGCAGGTTAAACAAAGCTTGGTTCACAACCACGTTGTTTCTAATAAATCAGTGGGGACAAGAAGTTCACTAATCATTTATGGGGCAAATAATGGGAATTTAGAAGGCAGTGAAGCCCTGAAGGCATACTTCTAAACTGTGAGGCCACTAACCAAAAGGTCAGCAGTTTGCATCTACCAGCTGCTCTGTGGGAGAAAGATGGGCAGCTCCTATAAAGATCTACAGCTTTGGAAAAACATCAAGTATTTAGTCTGATGGTGTGGTGGTTAAAGTTCTTGGTTGCTAATCCGAAGGTCAGCAGTTCAAACCCTCCAACTACTCTATAGGAAAAAAAAAGATAGAACAGCCTGTTCCTAAAAAGATTTAGAACCTTGGAAACAGGAAGTTCTGTTCTCTCTCATATGTGTCACTAGGAGTTGAGATTGACTCGGTGACAGTTGGTTTGGTTTTTTGATTTTGAGGTTTAGCTTTGTCCTACATAAACAAGGAAGTAATGTGAGTTGTAGCCAAGTCATGTAAGAATGGTTGTTATTGGCAGTAAGCTGTTTCCTGGAGCACAAAGGTGTATAGGGATTTTGTTAACCCTGGCTTCCCAGTTCCCAGACTTCAGGTAACACTGTTATTGTCACTTGGCTGTGGTCGCCAGCCCCTCAGTGTCTTGCTGGGACCAGCCGGACCACCTTGTCATCTGTGAGATGATGAGTCAGCAGGAGTTGGGTGACAGTGGATGTGAAGACACTCAGAGAGAGCCCTGTGGCTAGAATCAGCTCATCGTGCACTGAGGTAGGCAATCTGGAGACCGTGTGACAAGGCATACATTTATATACATGAGTAAGTCACAGAGTAAAAAATGCATTTCTCTAAGAATGGGCAAAATAAGTCTGACAAAGACCAGGAAGGGAACCCGCTCTACCAGTGAGGAAGCCTTGTCGCATAGCTGCAGCCATCAAGATGCTATGGCACTGGAGAAGGAGAGGGAAGTTGACAGATGGAACACATGACAGGGCATGTTGAAGCGGTGGGGAGAAAAGGTGCAGGAGGATAACATAGAAAGTTAGATTGCTATCTCACACATAGGCAAAACATAAACCCCACGAGAGTGCTGTTGCTGGCTGCTATCTTGGTGCTGCTGAAGTAGAAATAACATGAGCAGATGGATTTAACAAGCAAAAATGTGTTTTCTCACGGTTTAGAAAGCTAGAAGTACAAATGCCAGCTCTCAGGAAGGCTTTCTATCTGTCGGTTCAAAAGGAGGATCTTTGTCTCTTGTCAACAGCATCTGTGGACCTAGTACCCCTTGAATCAGTCTTTTTCTAAGTCTGGGAGATTCTCAGCACAGGGACCCCTGAGTCAAAAAGACAAACTCAATTCTAGCTCTTCTTTTTTAATAGTTCTAAGGTCCCTCCTTCTCTGTTCTCTTCTATCTCCTTTCTTTTTTTTTTTATTTTATTATTTGTGTTTGTGCATGTACCGTCAAATCAGATCTGACTGGTACAGGAGGAGATTGTCCCTCCTTCCCCGGCAGAGCATCTGGTGGATTCAAACCATGCACCTCTGGGATTTCAGTGCAGCTTCTTGCCACTAGGCCACCAGAGCTCCCCTTCTATCTCCTTTCTTATAAGATGAAACATGGCACAGGCCACCCTCCTGGGAAACACCCCTCACATCAGATCTGAATTGGAGTGTTCCATCCCATCCGTATCCCTTCACAAATGATTGATTACCACAACATGGGAGGTGATTACATTACATAACTGCCAGGTCCTATCAGTACATAACCGTCATGTCATCAAGAATCCTGACCAAGTTGACATATATGTTGGTGAGAGACATAGTTTAGTCATGACAGTTGCCATTAATTCTGACCCATGTCAACCCCCTGTGTGCAGAGTAGAACTGATGCATGGGGCTTTCAAAGCTGTGACCTATCAAAAGCAGATCACCCACCTGTGACATAAGTCACTTCTGGGTATATTTGAACATCCAGTCTTTTGGCTAGGAGTCCAGCGCTTAACCATTTGTACTGACGGAAACTATGTAAATGTCAAAACCAGATTTTACAACTCTTAGTAGAGAATGCACATGAATGCCAATGAACTACACACATAAAAAAGTATTGAACTGCCAAATATTTTGTTCTATATATTTTCACGCCAATTTTAAAAAGAACATATAGGCGAACATCTTGTAAGCAGTAGATGAGGAAAGGTTTATTAAACAAAAAGCAAACATAGAGCGACTATCAATGACTGCTAAATCTGACTAGATTGAAATGAAGAACTAGGGCTCCTGGAAACACATCTTAAAGTAAGTGAAAAAGCAGGTTACAAACTGGGAGCTGGTGACAGGAATGTTTACCCTTGGCAAAGATTAGCTTCAAGAAACTTGAAGAACTCCTATGAGCCACAGGAAAAAGGACAACGGGCACAAATGGGCCTTTCCAGCAAAGGAAACACCTGTGATCGAAAAAGCACACCGAGAGATCTCCGTCGTCACTCGGGAGCAGAGGAAGTCAATGCGAGCTAGGTTGAGTGACCATCTTACACTTTTGTAGCCAGAAATTTTTTAAAAATTAAAAGACTGGAAATATCCAATGTTGGATTTAGAATATAGACACCAAAAGAAGCCTGGTGGAAGAGGGAGTTAAGTGTTGGGCTGAAAGGTGAGTGGGTCAAGTCCACCAGCTGCTCTGCCGGACAAAGATGAAGCAACGTGTTCCCATCAGGGCAGTTTCACTCTGTCCTCTAGGGCCCCTTGGCGTTAGAATCAGCTTGGTGACCTTGAATTTGGGTTTTGGTTTTTATGCATTACTGATGGACTTGTACTTAAAACTTGAACTCAGTTTGGATTTTTTTCTAAAGCCAACTATTTATGTAGTTTATAGTCTAGACATTCTACA